CCAAAGCTTAGTGCATGTTTTTGTGCGTTTTCAGTTTCTTTTTTCTCAATCACATCAGTGAATCAAAAGTTTCTGATAGCTTCATTGCCCTCATCTGATAAAAAATCAAGGCCTGATCATTACAAGTTGTCTTTATTTAAAAATACAGAACAATCAAAGTCAGATACACCCAAGGTTACCTGGCTGCAGACAAGATAGAGGACCTGCACAATTTGTTGTTACAATTTTGATAAAAATTTTCATCCACAAATGTAGATTTATTTAAAAAAATCACCTTTCATATGTTCTCTGTTCCTCAAGCAATATTTAAACATTTATTTTAAAGCAACTACAATGATTGTAATATTGACTGGTACCTCCTCACAAATAAGGTAGAAAAAAGTATAATTTAAACTGATTCACTTCATTCTTTTTTTCCAGTGAAGCATTTTTTGCATAAGATTAGGAGCGAGATAGATGTAAACTGTTCTTTTGATTAGCAGAGATCACAATATTCTGTTACAGAGACTGGAACAACATGTAGTGATTAAACAACAGCCTTAAGCAGATTTAAGTCGTACTTATGAAATAGATTCACATTTTTTTATGTTAACATTGATTCCTCCATGCATACACAAGTTCCACAAGTCATGGAGTTCCACAAGATTCTCTCCTTGGACCGATACTCTTCACCTTATATATGCTTCCTTTAGGCAACATCATCAGAAAGCATCACGTAGACTTCCACTTGTACACAGATGACACCCAGATGTACATATGTATGAGGATACTGAGAAACTTGTCCATGCATTTGTTACCTCTAGACTGGATTACTGTATTTCTTATTCATCAGGATGTCACAGGAAGTTTGTAAAAGCCTCCAGCTGGTACAAAATGCTGCAGCACAGTGCTGACAGGAACTAGAAGGTAATAAATTAACAAAACTGATTTGACATTGAACTGTATCCTGCTGCTGTTTGGTCTTGTAATTTTCTGCATAAACTATGGAAGGATATTCATAATTTCATAACTGACAACTTTTTCTTTTTTTAAATGTAATTGTTATTATTTCTTGCAGTTAATTGATTGATTATTTATTCTTTCTTCTGTTTGATTTTCTTAATGTGTAATTTATATGACAATTTATGACAATACTTTCCTTCTGTTTTAACACTGTAGTTTGTTGGTAAAAAAACAAAATTAACAAAATCATATGCTCTTCAAGAAAAAAACTTCACAAGTAGAAAACGACAGAACAACAACTTCCATGAATCCAGATCATGGACCAAA